GAACTACAATCCACTGGATAAAGATGGACATATAGCATAGGATCCAAATCTATGTATGCAAGAGGGGCTTAAATTGCAGACCAAGATCAAACGTCTGCATACCTGGGAATGCCCATTTGTGGTGTGGCTGGTGGGTGTTATCAATCCGGTTGGTGTCGTCATAACAACCCCAGCCTGGCCGGCCATCTTACCAGCGGCGGCTGCGGCCAATGGCATCAGTCCAGCCGCTGCTGCTGCCACCATTTGCTGCTGGAGGTGCTGTTGTTGCTGTTGCTGGTGTTGCTGATGAGCTTGCTGATGAACATATTGCTGATGTGCTAGTTGCTGCTGTTGCTGCTGATGATGCTGATGCTGCACATACAATCCCGCAGCAGCAGCTGTGGAGGCAGCAAATGCCGCTGCTGCAGCTGCTTGCTGCTGTTGTTGCTGATGTTGTTGAAGTTGAAGTTGGGGTTGCAACTGACTTGTAGTTACAAGTTGTGGACCGTTAGGCCCGTTAACTACGTTCAAGAGACCAGCCGCTGCTGCTGCTGCTGCTGCGGCCGCTGCAGCTCCACGACCTGATCCTGGATCCATTTGAACAGAGCCAGTTGCTCCTCCGGGAAGGCTTACAGGTACCAAAACATTGCTCTGAACTGAGTCAGTGCTTGCATCCATGCTAGAAGGGATTGTCGTATTTGCAGTCCCTGCGCTACTAGAGCTAGGGCCTCCAGCGATGCCAGAACTCGTAGATGCGGCAGCAGCTGCTGCTGCTGCTGCTGCAGCTGCAGCTGCAGCCACCAGTCCCGCTCGTGCCAAACTGGACGGCGAGCAGCCAGTATGTGCTGGAACAGGCAATCCAGTTAGGCTCCCGGCCGATGCTTCGGTAGACTGGCAGATAATATTGGTGGTGGATAGTGATGCCGCTGGTGCTTGTCCAGTGATTCGCCGACGCTTAGCAGGAGCAGAAATTGAAGTGCCATGCGTTCCGAGTGTCAGACAAGAGAGCGGTTGGTCAATATTCAGGTCAGATCTCACGCCAACAGCCGTAGAGGCACTGCTAGAGAGTGCAGATGGAGAGGGAATTGTCTCCACTTTCATTTTGCGCCGTTTGTTGGGAATATGAGAAACTGGAGCACCTATACAGTGAAAGTTGGCAAGGATTCAAGTGAAGGAAGCTATGAAAGTGCGGTAATAAAACTAAAGGCATAGGATTACATAATTAAAAGTGCAATAAAATATAAACTTGCGAGTAAAAAAAACTTGCTTGTGAAAACTATCACCGGCAATTCTTCGTAAATCGATTTCTCTCTTTTATTTTAAAAATGTTAATTTATAATAGTGAAATGTTGAATTCAATGACAAATATTGGCTTTTATTTGGTCTCATTTTCGTAACTTAGTTGAATTGGCAATGCAACCTCGAGGAAAAAACTTTATCCAGCGCCCGTTTGCAATAGTGGTCAAAATACTTTCCTGCATTGCACTATGGACTGGACACAATGTTATAAATATCGCTGGCATCCAAATAGGTAATGACAGTATGCTTTACCATTCTTAGAACCTAGCAATAACGCATCAACCCTTTGATATAGAGGCTGTTTGACCTTGTTTTCGCAACATGGTCATATTGGTAGGAAGACTTAGAGGAACGCACCTTGTCCGGAGTCCATTGTCTGCATGATCATTTCCAAAGTAGAACCGTGGACATGGTACATTCCCAAACGTTTCGCCGGCATCGTCAATGATTATCGCCATTTCTAGCACCATACAACAGCTCATCAAAGAGACAAGTGAAGCCGATCCTTTGACCAAACGTGTGCTAAACAATTGTGGTATCTCCCCTTCTGCCCTGAGTTATTCGCGTTTCCGGTAGCATCCTATCATGCCATCACCATTAAAATTTTACCATGTTTATTTAGATAGTGTGGTGTGCTCCTTTGAGCGACATGACACCCTAACACTCCAACTGTCCTTCTCACCCCCCTCTTATCCTTGTGCATGGAATGTTGATCAGAGTCTGCTTTATTATTATGCAGTCTTCTTCCCTAGTCTCCTT